TTAATAAGATACAGGACGAGGTTCAAAGACTCAAACAAGAGTTAATGGATTATATTCAAGAGGAAATCAGGAAGAGCAGGGTAGAATGGCAAGGAGAAATATCTAGGCTTACTAATGAATTTGGCAGGAATAAGGGAAGCTTGGCAGGGGAAGGGGAAGTAGTAGTAGGTGGAATAGCGGGTGTGGGAGGGGTGGGGGTCAGCCAGGGAGGGGGCCACCAGCATGACCCTGAACTGAGAAAGAGGACAATCATAATCCATGGATTGCTTGAAGCCAGGGCACCATCGAGGCAGGAAAGGATGGAGATTGAGGATTTGGAGCTACAGGGGATCTTGAGAGACATGAGAGCCCAGATGGCAGGGAATGAGGTGCAAGTCCTCAGACGCATTGGGCCATACAACTGTAACAGGAAACGACCTGTCCTGGTACAGTTCACTAACTCTGGTGGAGTTAGTGAACTCTCTTGCCTGGTAGACCAAACTCTCACAAGTCAAGCCTGGCCTCGGGCCGGGCTTGGGGAGTAGAAGAACTCCCAGAACCCCATCAACCAGGTATCAACCAGGTAACGAAGAGGCAGTGGATTACATACTGCATCACAAACACTTACTCAGAGGTAGCGAAAATTACTACAACGTATATATTGACAAATTCATGACGAAGGAGGAGCAGGTAGCCCACAGAGCAAGCAAACAACAATACAACTCTTCCCATTTGAGCGTAGCTACACACCCCAGTGCTAATCCACCCCATGCTAACCAGCTCACACCTTCTCAGGTCACTCCTTCCCCAAATCAGCCCTCCCTGCCCCTGCTTATCTCCCCAACACCTCTCTTGACCCCTCTGACCCCACTGCAGTCAAATTCATCCCACATTCCAAGGACCCCCTCATCACCTCAACCCCCAAAACCCGTCCAGCCCTCATCCCCTCAACCCCCAAAACCCACCCAGCCCTCATCACCTCAACCCCAAGAACCCACCCAGCCCTCATCACCTCAACCCCAAGAACCCACCCAGCCCTCATCCCCTCAACACCCAAAACCTACCCAGCCCTCACCCCTCCTCATCCCCTCTCCTTCCATGTGACCCCCCACCCTTGCGAGGGGGGTGGGAGGTTCCCCCCACCCTTGCGAGGGGGGTGGGAGGTTCCCCCCACCCCCTCTATCCTTCCCCCTCCCAACCTCTCAACCTCTATCTGACTCCCAACCTTACGCTATCTCCCAACCCCTCTATGCCCTCCCTAATCTTCAGACCCAGTATGCCCTTCCTACTCCAGACCTACCTACCCAGGCCCTACCCCAGACCCTCCTTCCTACCTTCCTAGAAGCCCAGCCCCCAGTAGCCCCCCAAGCACCCCTCCTGACCTCTTTCACCCCCCATACACCCCCCGGACCCCTCCAGACACCCCCCGGATTCCCCCGGACATCCCACGGATCCTCCCCGCCCCCAGTCATCCCCCAGACACCCCCCAGATCCCCCTGCCCCCAATCACCCCCCAGACACCCCCCAGATCCCCCCAGACCCCCAGAGAAAGGGAGAACTCTCGTACAAGAGTTTCCATGAAGAATCTCAAGGTTTGGTACACCAATGCTGATGGGGTATCTAATAAAGCAGAAGAGATAATAGAAAGAGTGAGTGAAGCAGATCCTGACATAGTTGCAATTGTGGAAACTAAAATTAATGACATGATCTCAGATGCAATCTTTCCTGAAGGGTACCAGGTGATACGAAAAGAGAGGACACAGAGACAGGGAGGGGGAGTAGCACTCCTAATAAAGCAGAAATGGAAGTTTGAAGACCTGGGAAATCGAGTTACCAATGAGTGCACAAGCTTCATACATGGAACTCTGACAGTAGATGGGAGGAAGATTGTGATCTTGGTAATCTACAATCCCCCACCAAACAGTAGAAGACCCAGGCAGGAGTATGATGACAACAACAAGGCATGTATAGATGAACTGCAGAAGGCAGCAACACTAACCCACAGAATGAGAGCGAAGCTGCTGATCATAGGGGACCTAAATCATGGAGAGATAAATTGGGAATCAAGGAATCCCCATGGAGGGGACGAAACGTGGGGAGCAAAATTAGTAGATGTTAAAGACAGGAATTTCCTAACACAACATGTGAAGGAAGACACAAGGGAAAGAGGAGGAGATGCACCGAGCCTATTAGACCTGATTTTCACCCAGAATGTAGAAGATATCGAGAATTTAGAGCATGAAATACCTCTAGGGGCCAGTGACCATTGTGTCCTAGTCTTTGACTACATGATGGAATTCAAACTTATGACCATGGGACAAGAGATCTGGGAAAGGAGAGTTGAATACAGGAAAGGGGACTATAAGAGGATAAGGGACTATCTGGGTGAAGTGCAGTGGGAGGAAGAAATTAGAGGAAAAACAGTCCAAGATATGATGGACCTAGTCATACAGAAATGCCAGGAGGCCGAAGAGAGATTTATACCAACAGTAAAGGGAATAAATAAGAAGGAATATAATAACCCATGGTTTAATAGACAGTGTCAGGAAGCAAAAATGGCCAGCAGGCGGGAGTGGAGGAAGTACAGAAGACAAAGGACAGAGGACAACAGGATCAGATACAACAGAGCTAGGAACGATTACATTAACATAAGACGAACATCGGAAAGGGACTATGAGAACGATATTGCAATCAAAGCGAAAAAACAACCTAAGTTACTACACAATCATATAAGAAGAAAAATGTCGGTGAACGACCAAGTGACAGGACTAAGGACGACAGAGGGGGCATATACTGAAAGTGACAAGGAAATCTGCGAGGCACTGAATGCCAGTTTCTATGGAGTGTTCACAACCGAGCCTGAGCAGCTCCCATTGTTGGAAGGGGTTACCCTAGATGAAAGACTATCAGATATAGAGGTGACAGCAGAGGAGGTAATGAAACAGTTGGCAACTCTAGATGCAACTAAAGCAGTTGGACCAGACAAAGTATCACCGTGGATACTAAAAGAAGCAGCGCAGGCCCTCAGCGTGCCTCTGGCAATGATCTTTAATGAGTCACTTATGTCGGGAGAATTGCCCAGTTGCTGGAAGAAGGCAAATGTCGTGCCGATCTTCAAGAAAGGTGATAGGGAGGAGGCACTTAACTATAGACCTGTATCACTGACAAGCATCCCCTGTAAAATACTGGAAAGAATAATTAGGCTACGACTGGTTGCACACCTGGAGAAAATTAAGTTTGTGAACAAACATCAACATGGGTTCTGGACAGGGAAATCGTGCCTAACAAACCTTCTGGAATTTTATGATAAAATAACGAGGATAAGACAGGACAGAGATGGTTGGGCAGACTGCATATTTCTGGACTGCCAAAAAGCCTTTGATACAGTACCGCACATGAGACTGCTGTTCAAGCTCGAGAGGCAGGCGGGGGTGGGGGGAAAGGTCCTAGCATGGATAAGGAACTACCTAACAGGAAGGAGCCAAAGAGTTAAGGTAAGAGGCGAGAAGTCGGACTGGCGAACAGTAACAAGTGGAGTACCACAAGGATCGGTGCTGGGACCAATTCTATTTCTTGTATATGTTAACGACATGTTTACAGGTAGAGTCCTACATGTCGATGTTTGCGGATGACACAAAGTTGATGAGAAGAGTTGTGACAGATGAGGATTGCAGGATCCTCCAAGAGGACCTGAACAGGTTGCAGAGATGGTCAGAGAACTGGCTACTGGAATTCAACACGAGCAAATGTAAAGTTATGGAAATGGGACTAGGAGATAGGAGACCAAAGGGACAGTACACAATGAAGGGGAACAGCCTACCTGTGACGGCGCACGAAAGAGACCTGGGTGTAGACGTAACACCTAATCTATCTCCTGAGGCACATATAAATAGGATAACGACAGCAGCGTACTCTACACTGGCAAAAGTTAGAACATCATTCAGAAACCTAAGTAAGGAGGCATTTAGGGCGCTTTACGCTGCCTACGTGAGGCCAGTCTTAGAGTATGCCGCCTCATCATGGAGTCCCCATCTGAAGAAGCATATAATGAAACTGGAAAAGGTTCAGAGGTTTGCAACGAGACTCGTCCCAGAGCTACGAGGGATGGGGTATGAGGAGCGCCTGAGGGAACTATGCCTTACGACACTAGAAAGAAGAAGGGAGAGGGGTACATGATAGGAACGTATAAGATACTCAGAGGGATTGACAGAGTGGACGTAGACGAAATGTTCACACGGAATAGTTACAGAACGAGGGGACATGGGTGGAAGCTTGAAACTCATGAGTCACAGAGATGTTAGGAAGTTTTCTTTTAGCGTGAGAGTAGTGGGAAAATGGAATGCACTTCAGGAACAGGTTGTGGAAGCAAATACTATTCATAGTTTTAAAACCAGGTATGATAGGGAAATGGGACAGGAGTCATTGCTGTAAACAACCGATGCTCGAAAGGCGGGATCCAAGAGTCAATGCTCGATCCTGCAGACACAACTAGGTGAGTACAACTAGGTGAGTACACACACACACGCGCACACACACGCACACACACACACACACACACACACACACACACACACACACACACACACACACACACACACACACACACACAAACACGCACACACACACACACACAACACACACACACACACACACACACACACACACACACACACACACACACACACACACACACACACACACACACACACACACACACACACACACACACACACACACACACACACACACACACACACACACACAAACACACATACACACACACACACATACACACAAACACACCATATGATAATAGTCCAGGACGGACCGAAACGTCGCCGTTCCCCCCCCCCCCCCCGAACCATCCTCTGATGCGTGATTCGCTCCTCACATCTTCAGCCACATTACTGTCACGTTACGTTACGTTACGTCAGCCACGTTACTGTGACGTTACGTTACGTTACGTCAGCCACGTAACTGGGACTCAACCTCTTCACCACATCCAGCATTCCAAGCCTCACCTTATTGTGCTTTTTCCAGACGAGAGAGGGAGGAGGAATGCCACCGACGACGCTACAGGTGATGGTGAGGCTGCTGCCCTCCTGTAGGGGGCCAAGCACCCCCTCCGTAATCCTCTGGCCGGCCACCATCAGCACCGGCTGGCCGGGGGGCTCCACCACCTGCAGGTTCAGGTGTGTCCGGCGGGACGAGGCTGGAGGAAGATAAAAAAATGGTGAGCTTTGGGTGGCCAGAAGAGAATAGATGAAGAGAGGATGATAAAACGAAGGTAATAGAGAAAAATAGAGTGAAAAAAGGAAGATGATGGAGAAGAGTGGTGAGGGATAGAAGGAAGAGGTTATGCAAATAATATCTTAGAACCCTAAATGTAGCGAGAATGAGAGACAGAATACACTGTGTATAGAGAAGAACACAGAAAACGAAGTGGATAGAGGAGAAAGAAGTAAGAAAATTATCCCATATTCAATGAGAGTCCCTGAGGGAGGCGTCAACAATAAAGTATGCAAGAGTTCAATGCATGCAACAGTAGCAAGGAACAACAGCGGAGAATGAGAAGGGAATAGCAGGACGTGGGAACAAGCGCTGAGCTACTTACTGATGGGTACAGTGAGTAACACATAATAATGTGGAGACACAATGGTCCAGGCCTCAGTGAGAAGCAGGCAGCAGTGAAGCGGTTCAAATAGTCCAATGCTTCAGTGGGAACAAAGACGAGGCAAAGGGGACGAGTGAATAACATGTCGAATATGCTGCCCGTCCTCTAAACAAAAGGCCAAAAGTCCATTCCACGCACCCGCCAAACCCCCTGTTTATGATTGAAAAACGGTTTACACACGACTCACAACTGATGACGTCAGAACGCTTCCGGAACAAGTGCTTCGCTGACGACATTTGTTCGAACTACAACGCTATAAATGCTTAACCAATTAACGCACTACAAATACATATAATCGGCAACAGAACCTAAATTCCTAACCTAACTTAACCACTGCCTAAATATGCACAATATGTTAATATATAATAATTTAATTGATATTTAATAAAAGTTCTGTTTTGAATGAACAGCATGTTAAAACTGTTGAATGCGTCTTTGGGGTTGACCGTTGGATAGAATGGACTTGCTGTGAGGACAGGTTGCGAAAATGACATATATATTAATTTGGAAACATATTTGCATAATCTAATTTCAACAGATAATTGACATGCAAGCCAAAGTCAGAGGGTATGTCGCTACATGTATTCGGTATTCGACAATGTACGGCAAGAGAGCTTGACATGTTAATTGGATTTGAAAATAGGATGATATATATATAAACTAAGATATAAGACTTGAATATGACATTATAATTACAGTCACTTTGAACGCCCAGTTTATTGGTGTGTTGCTCGCTGAACCTTTTCAACAGAGACATCATAACTAGATCTTAAGTTAAACTGAGAATATAATTTATATATAAATATATATATATATATATATATATATATATATATATATATATATATATATATATATATATATATATATATATATATATATATATATATATATATATATATATATATATATATATATATATATATATATATATATATATATATATATATATATATATGTAGCCGAACATAGACTCTTGGAGGAGTGAGAGGAGGTTTTGTTGCATAACAAAGTATAATATTTAACTACATATTTGTGGAAAATTCCTCTGAAAACTTTAATCATTCAGTCAGGTATTATGGCTCTAACTAATGAACATTATTAACCAAAATAAATACATAAAAGCTCTCTAACAACTGTCAAATAATCGTGTTTATTAGTAATTCGTACCAAAAGCAACACTAATTATCACACAAAGTGAATACTGTGTAAACATTATTTCAAATGCTGTTGTTGATTTTGGGTAAATTAAGCCAGTGAAAAGAAAATGGCTATCCTCCCTCTCCCTCCCCCCCTACCCTCCCCTCCTTCGGTCCCCTCCCCCAAACACCCCTTCCCTCACAAAACCCCCAACACCACCTCCACCCCCCTCCTCCCAATACCTTCCACGGTGAAATTAGCAGAAACCACACAACCGTCTCCAGACGAACAACAACAACAGCCACGCAGGAAGAAGCCTTAAACCAACAACTCTCGGAATAACTACGTAAGAATCATTGAGCTGCCGCAGGGAGCCGCCACCCTGCAGCCTGCACACACGTTGCTCTCATACTGTGGGGAGAGCCCCGCGAATTTCGGCGAAGGGGGACGGGGGGGGCTCTCACCAACATATAGAGCAAAATAGGAATCTTTTTAACTGGGGAGCGGTGGGTATACCTTGGTGTGTGTGGCTGTGAGACGGGGAGACACACCTCTACAGCGGCGTGGAAGATCTCACCTCTGGCCACTGCTGGCCCAGGTGGAGATTGGTGTGACCTGGCCACTGCTGGCCCAGGTGGAGATTGGTGTGACCTGGCCACTGCTGGCCCAGGTGGAGATTGGTGTGACCTTGCCACTGCTGGCCCAGGTGGAGATTGGTGTGACCTGGCCACTGCTGGCCCAGGTGGAGATTGGTGTGACCTGGCCACTGCTGGCCCAGGTGGAGATTGGTGTGACCTGGCCACTGCTGGCCCAGGTGGAGATTGGTGTGACTTGGCCACTGCTGGCCTAGGTGAAGATAGGTGTGACCTGGCCACTGCTGGCCCAGGTGGAGATTGGTCTGACCTGGCCACTGCTGGCCCAGGTGGAGATTGGTGTGACTTGGCCACTGCTGGCCCAGGTGAAGATAGGTGTGACCTGGCCACTGCTGGCCCAGATGAAGATAGGTTTTGCCTGGCCACTGCTGGCCCAGGTGAAGATAGGTGTGACCTGGCCACCGCTGGCCCAGGTGGAGATTGGTGTGACCTGGCCACTGCTGGCCCAGGTGAAGATAGGTGTGACCTGGCCACTGCTGGCCCAGATGAAGATAGGTTTTGCCTGGCCACTGCTGGCCCAGGTGAAGATAGGTGTGACCTGGCCACTGCTGGCCCAGGTGGAGATTGGTGTGACCTGGCCACTGCTGGCCCAAGTGAAGATAGGTGTTGCCTAGCCACTGCTGGCCCAGGTGAAGATAGGTGAAACCTGGCCACTGCTGGCCCAGATGAAGATAGATGAGACCTATAGCTAGCAGTGACATCGGTGAGAATAGAGAAGACCTATTAAGCAGTGACTTTGTTGAGGTTAGAACAGATCTAGCCAGCAGTGACCTCAGTGAGGATAGAGGAGACCTAGCCAGTAGTGACCTCAGTGAGGATAGAGGAGACCTAACCAGCAGTGACCTCAGTGAGGATAGAGGAGACCTAGCCAGTAGTGACCTCAGTGAGGATAGAGGAGACCTAGCCAGTAGTGACCTCAGTGAGGATAGAGGAGACATAGCCAGTAGTGACCTCAGTGAGGATAGAGGAGACCTAGCCAGTAGTGACCGCAGTGAGGATAAAGGAGACCTAGCCAGCAGTGACCGCAGTGAGGATAGAGGAGACCTAGCCAGTAGTGACCGCAGTGAGGATAGAGGAGACCTAGCCAGTAGTGACCGCAGTGACTATAGAGGAGACCTAGCCAGTAGTGACCTCAGTGAGGATAGAGGAGACCTAGCCAGTAGTGACCGCAGTGAGGATAAAGGAGACCTAGCCAGCAGTGACCGCAGTGAGGATAGAGGAGACCTAGCCAGTAGTGACCGCAGTGAGGATAGAGGAGACCTAGCCAGTAGTGACCGCAGTGACTATAGAGGAGACCTAGCCAGTAGTGACCTCAGTGAGGATAGAGGAGACCTAGCCAGTAGTGACCGCAGTGAGGATAGAGGAGACCTAGCCACCAGTGACCTCAGTGAGGATAAAGGAGACCTAGCCAGCAGTGACCTCAGTGAGGATAGAGGAGACCTAGCCACCAGTGACCTCAGTGAGGATAGAGGAGACCTAGCCACCAGTGACCTCAGTGAGGATAGAGGAGACCTAGCCAGTAGTGACCGAAGTGACTATAGAGGAGACCTAGCCAGCAGTGACCTCAGTGACGATAGAGATCTAGCCAGCAGTGACAGCAATGAGGATAGAGGAGACCTAGCCAGCAATAACCTCAGAGAGGATAGAGATCTAGCCAGCAGTGACAGCAGTGAGGATAGAGGAGACCTAGCCAGCAGTGACCTCAGTGAGGATAGAGGAGACCTAGCCAGCAGTGACCTCAGTGAGGATAGAGGAGTCCTAGCCAGTAGTGACCGCAGTGAGGATAGAGGAGACCTAGCCACCAGTGACCTCAGTGAGGATAGAGGAGACCTAGCCAGCAGTGACCTCAGTGAGGATAGAGGAGACCTAGCCACCAGTGACCTCAGTGAGGATAGAGGAGACCTATCCACCAGTGACCTCAGTGAGGATAAAGGAGACCTAGCCAACAGTGACCTCAGTGAGGATAGAGGAGTCCTAGCCACCAGTGACCTCAGTGAGGATAGAAGAGACCTAGCCACCAGTGACCTCAGTGAGGATATAGGAGACCTAGCCACCAGTGACCTCAGTGAGGATAGAAGAGACCTAGCCACCAGTGACCTCAGTGAGGATAGAAGAGACCTAGCCACCAGTGACCTCAGTGAGGATAGAGGAGACCAAGCCACCAGTGAGCTCAGTGAGGATAGAGGAGACCTAGCCACCAGTGACCTCAGTGAGGATAGAAGAGACCTAGCCACCAGTGACCTCAGTGAGGATAGAGGAGACCTAGCCACCAGTGACCTCAGTGAGGATAGAGGAGACCTAGCCAGCAGTGACCTCAGTGAGGATATAGGAGACCTAGCCACCAGTGACCTCAGTGAGGATAGAGGAGACCTAGCCACCAGTGACCTCAGTGAGGATAGAGGAGACCTAGCCACCAGTGACCTCAGTGAGGATAGAGGAGACCTAGCCACCAGTGACCTCAGTGAGGATAGAGGAGACCTAGCCACCAGTGACCTCAGTGAGGATAAAGGAGACCTAGCCACCAGTGACCTCAGTGAGGATAGAGGAGACCTAGCCAGCAGTGACCTCAGTGAGGATAGAGGAGACCTAGCCACCAGTGACCTCAGTGAGGATAGAGGAGACCTAGCCACCAGTGACCTCAGTGAGGATAGAGGAGACCTAGCCACCAGTGACCTCAGTGAGGATAGAGGAGACCTAGCCACCAGTGACCTCAGTGAGGATAGAGGAGACCTAGCCACCAGTGAC